AAACTTATTTTTCGCCGCTCCTGGACAAAGCGTTTCAGGTTAACGTGCAACGACTTAACTTTTTTGCATTCAAACTTGTAACGATGGAAAACTGGACCCGTGTGAGTTGTGACAACTCGCGCGCAAGATGCTCTATTCCAACCGCAGTGTAATTGGAGTAAGTGGAATATATTGTGTCATTTAGAGAAGGAAGATGCACATACGTTCATGATCTCTTCTGGTTTGAAGATTTACCAGCGAGCTGACAGAAGTAGTGTTTGACTTTAGTGCTACGGTTAGGGTTGTGCAATGACTAGCGTTCGCAATGTATGCATTTATAGTCTAATAAAGTTTGTCGGTCATTGCGTATGCAGTAGGTCACCACTGGGAAGGATATTGAAATGTTCATGTCAGATACAACACACCACAGAGAAGAGGACAGTGCCATAAAAAATATAGCCCGTACCAATGCATCAATTTCCCACTTTGGTGCTTTTTCTGCAATATTTTGCTGGTCTTTTCTTGGATTTTCTGTTTGCACAAAGTCACATAGTCACTTTAAGTTGTGTTCTTGTTTTTGTTTGTTTGTTGCGGTTGCACCTGATTCAAGAGCCGAATGGCTCACAGGGCTATACCAAATAAATTAAACTGAAAATAAATTAAACTGAAAACTAAAACCAAACAAATGAAACTGAAAACTAAAACCAAATAAATGAAACTGAAAACTAAAACCAAATAAATTCAACTGAAAACTAAAACCAAATAAATTCAACTGAAAACTAAAACCAAATAAATGAAACTGAAAACTAAAACCAAATAAATTCAACTGAAAACTAAAACCAAACAAATGAAACTGAAAACTAAAACCAAATAAATTCAACTGAAAACTAAAACCAAACAAATGAAACTGAAAACTAAAACCAAATAAATTCAACTGAAAACTAAAACCAAATAAATGAAACTGAAAACTAAAACCAAATAAATTAAACTAAAACCAAATAAATGAAACTAAAACCAAATAAATGAAACTGAAAACTAAAACCAAATAAATGAAACTGAAAACTAAAACCAAATAAATTAAACTGAAAACTTCAACCAACTAAATGAAACTGAAAACTAAAACCAAATAAATGAAACTGAAAATTAAAACCAAATAAATAAAACTGAAAACTTCAACCAACTAAATGAAACTGAAAACTAAAACCAAATAAATGAAACTGAAAACTAAAACTAAATAAATGAAACTGAAAACTAAAAACAAATAAATGAAACTGAAAACTAAAACCAAATAAATGAAACTGAAAATTAAAACCAAATAAAGAAAACCGAAAACTTCAACCAACTAAATGAAACTGAAAACTAAAACTAAATAAATGAAACTGAAAACTAAAAACAAATAAGCGAAACTGAAAACTAAAACTTTAGAACCAATTCTTGCGCAACCCATGCACACCGCACGGTGCGTGTGATGATGCATGATTCTTTATTTGTGTACGTTGTCGTATGTGTTGTAGCCGCACGGTCTCCACAGTGGCCACAAACAGAGTCGATTCTTCAATTGAATCACGACCCCCGAATTGTGACAATTCATCACCCTCATCATGGGACCTCCTTTGCCAGTACCAAAATATGAGAAGAGGTTTTCCCCTTTTTTCTGGCAACAAAACAGCTGTGTTAAGATGTTAAAACACCAAACGGTAACCTTTTACAATGAGTCATGTCTACATTAACCACAATACTTGTGGTCAGAATGCAAACAAAAACGTACTCTGATAATATATGCATTATTTGGCAAAGGAGGTCCCATGATGTAGATGCTCACCCCGAGCCCTCATTACTCTGATAGTGGCATTGCCTTTGTGATGTGTGCGCCTTTTGGCGTCCTCTGGTCTAACACCGTTTGAGACGAGGCTCAAAAGAAAGCTGTCTCTGGTGTGGACCAATCAGTTTCAAAAACAATGCATACATTATCAGAGGATGTTTTTTGTTTGCATTCTGACCACAAGTATTGTGGTTAATGAAGACATGATTCCTTGTAAAAGGTTTCAGTTTGGTGTTTTAACATCTTAACACCTGTTTTGTTGCCAGATAAAAGGGGAAAACCTATTCTCAAATTCATCACCCTGTAAGGAAAGCCCATTCGTTACGTGCCTATTACAATTAACATTTAAATTATTTATACACGTTGAACTCACAGTAATAAAATAAATAAAATTTTCGAGTTTTTTGTTGTTCAGTCCACTACTGGATGAATGGCCTCGACACGCCTTTGTCGGGGGTTGACTGACCATACTTCACCTCGCTGGCCAGTGCAGGTCGGGAATGACGTTCGGTGCCAGGATCGGTTCAGGTATCACTCGCAACCGAAGAATAAGAAGACCGATGTTTGCTATAGACAGGAAACAACTAAGGTCATTGGTTTCATAGCAGAGTATGCTAACCACGTGACCAGTCTACCCTGAGCATGCTGTATCTAGTTTCTTAATAATACCAAAAATCATTCGCATCAAGCAATTGGCTTCGTGCGATTGGCATCAGCCTTTGGTGCAAGATGGAATAGGGTGGCTCCCCTATCCAATTTTCACCACTTTTCATGACCCGGGCAACCTCGCAGCAGCGGCTTTTGGCTGGCCATCGAACAAAGACGGTGGTCACCGCATCGCGCGTTTTTGGATGCGCTTCTGCGGCCGTCTGGAACGCTCTTCCTTCCGATATTAGAAAGCCACTGGAGCTATGCACTTTTACATCTAGATTGAAAACTCATTTCTTTAGAACTGCTTTTTGTGTTTAGTTTGTTGTCCTTCCCCCGCACCTCCGATTAGCACGATTGGCTACGTATGGTGCAAAAGAAGTTCAACGTACATACGACCCGGCGCCAGTGCCCCTTGATCCATGCCGTGTGCCCCGTTGCAAATGCACCGCCTGCTCACTCGTTCACAACACCGCTGGCTTCAAGGCAATCCATCATCTTCCACGTCTGTTTCCATGAGGTGGACATATTCTAGACACCATCACGCCAGCGACAGGATTATCTGCGTGTGTGCTGCTTGTTGCAGTATTCAAAAAGCCTCCGGTGGAATGCGACCTCTCGCCACGCCGCTGCTGGTACCACGGCACTCGCGAAGGTGGTTCTGGAGATGTCCTCTTTGGCATGCAAGACAAGAGCTTCATGACAGCTTGATAAGATGGGAGCCGATTAGATGGTGGCCCCTGACAGAGGCAGAGCTGATAGCAGGGGACGATGAAAGGATCGCTGTGGGAAGGACTTTGAAGTGTCTCTCCATAATTCACTTGACTTAAGGGCCTGTTTTTAAATAGTTCAATAGTCACAGTTAACGTCGTTAGAGTGTTTACACTGTGGTGATTTTCACTCACGTTCCGACGGGGCCGTTAAAGGGTACATTACCACGAGGATGATGTCAAATAACATCTTACAGTTTTGAAAAAAAATTTAATATTGGATTTGACTTCAAGGAAAAGCTAATTATTTACATGTCCCAGTCACAAATAAAAGTATATCTTACCACTCTCCCATGGCGACTGTTGCCGTCAACTTCACTCCCTTGAGTCCTCTACCCATGTTGAGGACTCGGTCTACCAGACACCAGCTGTTCCAAGTCCTCCACTTTACTTTGTTCAACCACCACCACCACAACAACCACCACCACCAGACTGCAAGGTCACGGCGCCTCTCTTTCTGCTTCGTTCCTCGCTTTGCTCAATTTTGGAATTCCGTCCCATCGCCTCGTTTTCAAAGTTCGTATAACCTGTCTCAGTCCAAGAAATGTATTCACTATTATCTATTGCGCCTTCAATGGCACTGGTTGTTGCTGGCTGCTTGGCAATTTGGGCTCTGGGCCTGTGCCCAGCCACCATGCTTTGGAAACATATGTACAATACTTTTGTCTTTATAATAATTTACACCATAAAATCACGAGCAGAGGTCATGAACAGAGCCACATTCTCCAATAGTAGCTCCCAGACTCAGTCCCTTTTAAAAAATTTAATTCCAGTAAATTGTATTGCCACATGTCCACACACAAAAATACTTTTTTTGCGAAACGAACCATTGCAATGGTTTTATCAAAATTGTACAGACACAGCGAAGAGAGAGAGAGAAAACAATCGTGGAGGTCAGGCAACGCTATCTGCTGCACCAGTTGACTGAATGGAAACTAATTGAAAAGGGCCATTGTGTGTGAGATGTTTGTCTGTAATCATTCACCGCTGGGGACTCCATCAATACTCAGTGCCCAGAGCGCCCTCCCCGCAAGTGTGAAAGGTGAGATATTTCTTCTTGAGGTGTGGTTCTTGTTGCTGCTGCTAACTCTGGTGCGTGTGGCACCCAGAGGGGAAAATTTTACGTTGAATTAGACATCACAAATATAGGCCATATTGGACATAGCTAGCCTCCCCATATCTAGCTCTCTATGGCTATATAATAATTAACGTACAGCCCTTTCTCAATCCATTGACGGATGCAGGCTTCCCCATGTTCTGTTAGTCATGTACAGTGAGGGGCCAGCAACCTGCCGCTCCGGAGCCGCGTGTGGCTCTTTCTAAGGACTGCAGTGCGGCTCTTGAAATTCGAAAAACAAAAGTCTCTTCTTGATATTTTGTTTGCCGACCCGTGATCATGGAAGTCCAGTTCACCGTGTAAGTCTAGTTTACCATGGAAGTCCACTTTACCATGGGATTCCAGTTTACCATGGGCAGGGATCGGCAACCTGCGGCTCCAGAGCTGTATGTGGCTCATCAAGGGCTGTTTCGTGGCGTTATTTATTCAGGACCACCGTCGCGTATTCACCACAGCGCATTGCCACAGTGCATTAAAATATTGTTTTTATTTACCGAATATCAAAAAAAATGGCTCTTGCTATATTGGTTGCCGATACCCTGGTCACGTGGATTGTGTGTTGACCCTACTTCACCACCGCTGGTCAATGCGGATTGGTGGGGGGGGGGCATCCAGGACTGGTTGAGATACTACTTGCTACTGATGGTAATCTTTATCGCTGCAGAAATTGAACTCAGCTCCACTTGGATTCGAAGCGCAGTGCGCCGACCACTGGGCCAGCGCTCCATCCCTTTGTGTAAGGAAGCGCTAATCACATGCTCAGCATCTCGACAGTAAATTCGTGTGTTCAAGCCACCACCAATGGGATGCTGTTTCACAATGCATTCATTGTGAATTTAAATGCATACCGATCTTCTGAAGTCACTGTCTGCAATTGCATAGCTGTTGCATTCTTTTCATTTTTTTTTGTTTTGAGAATCCATCACTTGAGACACCCAACTTGAACATGAACAAAAACTGCCACCGTAAACACCACCGCGTGTACCTACGCACGTGAGAGTACGTGCGGTGGCAATGAGTGTGCCTACTGGATGGCAGGGTATCCCGCTAGAGTGTAAATGGATCGATCTCCTGACGTGGCACTTGAAACAATAGTCCAAGTTTCTCATATTACTCCCCCCCCCCAGCTCGATCCACGCAGCAGTATAAATGGTTGCACCACAGTCAGTCGGTTGTGGTGGGGTAAATTGTGGATACTCCAACCGTTTTCTGAGATGTCCGGCCAATGTTGCAGCATAAACCAACGCATCCTATAGAGGGGCTCTGTAGAGCTCCCTCTAGCCGAGACCCCTCTGCCAGCAGTGGCGTGAGTCAGCAATTGAAGGGCTCTGCCTTTGTCTCTTTGCTAAATGGCAGAAGGCTCAACTGGTTGTTACAGCCCATGACGAAGCAGGTACAGGCCAGTGAGACTGAAGACTCGTATCATTCCATCTGGTGTACAAGGAAAAAGGAAGTTTTTTTTAAACAATGCATGTTTGCTCTGCACTTGACAAACATTACGATATAAGCGATCAATAACTGTGCATAAGTCACCAAATATCTGCAACAGATTAAAGGAGAACTGCATTTTGGGTCGAAAAACAAACATTGGATTAAACTGGGTATCCAATTGTCCAATATCACATTTTATTAAGGGTTTTTTTATATTTTAGCTCCAAGTCCATGTAAGATCGATAACCCCAAAAGTCCCTTGGCTGCAAATGATGCGTTGACTGCAGTGGTGAAGGAAGGTGAAAGGCCACGTCGAAAGAGAGACGCAGTTGAGTGGATATATTTGTGTTGCGCAAACTGGGCAACGGACCAGTTTGCAGAAAGTTAATAGCTTCTACAATTAATTAACCCGATGATACGAGATTAAATTATGAAGACGCTGAGATATCTTGAGATAGATAACCCATGGTCAACCCGCTGTTGGACAAATGCTTCTCCATGCCGCGTCAGTCATGGGGGTTCTTTGACCATACTTGGGGCCCCACGGTGGCTAGGAGATGTTAACTACCTCGCCTGTTATACAGGAGGCCGTAGGTTCGATCACGACCCTGACGCCTGCTGTATGTTTGGAGTTTGCGGTGTCTCTCTCCCCGTGGTCGCGTGGATTTTTGTCCGGGTCCTCCGGTTTTTCCCTCCACATTTAGAAACGTGCGTTTAGAGTATTTGGCTGCGATACATTTCCACGTGAAAAGCCACTTCGTTGAACTATCGTTTGTGGGCAGATCGCTTCTCAAAAATAACTTTATAGCTCAGTGGGCCTTACCTGGTAATAAAACTTCACCGTGCTGGTCAGTTTAGGTTGCTGAAGGAAAGTGTCCAGTTCACAGTTCAGATATTTACTTTCCACTGCTGTTAGCGGTGGCAAGTTACCACGTGTTGTTCGGCACGATGCCCGACGTTTCGCTCCACGTGCTGGGAGCTTATTCAGGAATTGAATTGGACTGACGTGAAGAAAGGGAGGCCACGCCGTGCCGGTCATCGACGAGGTTGCGTTGTGTGTGTGTTCCTCCATCAGCAAACGAATTCAGTTCCTGCAGAAGCTCCGAGCGCGTGAAACGAAACGTCGGACATCGCGCCGGTGGTACAACATCGCGTGGTTGGAACCCGAATAAACATCGGAGATTGCAACAACAAAAAACCCAATTCCCCGTTTCAACTCTCCGGTCCGGATCTGCGTGCGCGTGGTGGCTCGCCAGGACGTGGTCCGAACAGCAGCAGCAGCAGGAATGTTTGGGAGGCCCCTCGGGGCTGCCTGCCTGGGGGAGTCGCCTGGCAAAGTTGCCGAGGGGCAATGTTGGGGGGGGGGGGGTTGCAATGCTTGTCACAGGGTACAATTAATCTTAGACACATTCCGTTTTGCACATTCTCAGCATTCCCCCCGGGCGAACACAGAGAGATGTGTACAGAGATGAGGACGTGAACCTCCTCGTTAGTTTCAGCGATTCCCCCCCAAACTCCCCCCACCACCAAATGGTGGGGTTACACTTCCACAGCTTCCACAACTTACACAACTTACACAGCTTCCACAGACGTCGACAACTCACAGATTACGAGGCGGACGATAATGGCGGATGAGACATGCGGCCAAGGCAACTTTTCACACGGGGGTGTGCGCTGTATTTTAATAGCATTGCCCATTTGCAGTTACTCCAAAAATGCTGCCGACTGATGAATTGTCACGCATGCGTTAGCCTAACATACTCGACTCAATGGAATGAGATGGAATTTGACTGATACGGCGTGTTTATTGCGTTGCGCAAAATGCTGGTATGTAGTGATTGGAATTTCTCAATGAGTACTCCAACGCATTGGCCCAAGATGTGTACTTCCACTTCATCATAGCAAAGACGCTTTTCTTGCGACCAGTAAATCGGCATTCTGAGCAGCAGAGATGGTAAAAAAAACATCTATTCTGGTGGCAATATTTGACAACACTGTACTTTTCAGAAAATAATTATAACCCAATGTCGTTGAGTGCATGTTTCATTAATTACAAGTTGATGCCTGGATACTTGAGGTAATAAAACATGTTTCGTAAATTACTTTGCTTTGGTGTGTAGGATGGCGTTAACATGACAGAGTGCTGAAGCTGTGCGGTTTAATAAGGTAACGTCTGAACTCCACATCACGTTTATCATCTCCACTCCCAACAACACCAGCAGCAGGCCTTATTTATGTGCTTCTGGATGAATACCGATTCAAAAATAACAATAATAATCAACTCATGAAAGGATCTCAGCGGTCGAGGTTGAGCGTTATGATATTGAGTAGATAACGGTCATTGACGTGACCGCCTGCTGCCCTAAGATAATGTTTGCAATGTTTATACGTTATAGAACGTGCCAGGTGATGTTAGAGAGCACGCAGGTAAAATAAAAAAAACATCGGGCGGAATAAAAAATGCATCAACCAACGTCGTTTTGTAAAACCGAACGATGTGCGCAGATCGAATCAGATGTGTAAGAATATATGTTTTCCCAAGTTGTAGATGTTGCACGCAATTGATTTCGCTCGACTTCTCCAGCCACGAGAGGCCGCTACACTGGGTCGTCTACAGCGGCGTTCTTCATTGCACGGCCCGCAGGCCACAGGCGGGCCCTCGGTGGTCTTTAGTGCGGCTCCCGACAATACATACAATGTGAAAACACCCCTCCCCCCACCATCATCATCGTGCTGCTGTCAAACCCCCCCCCACCCCTACAAATGTGTGGCTGCCCTCACACTGATGATGTCTTGTCGGTGACAGTGCACCACCGACCTCTCCTCTGAAACTTCGTGAAGAACACTGGTCTACACGATTGGTAAAAAAAAAGAGGGAGTCGGTTCTTGAAACGAATCGTGACCATGCGTTGCAACAATTCGCTGAATCACGAGGGAGGCGTTCGGAGGGGGGCGGGGAGCGCAGAATAGTCGCCGCTTAATTATTCACTGAATTTTTTGTGTTGTTCGCCGGTGGGTCGGGAGTTTGCACGCGACTCGTAGCCCACAGCCACAGCGAAAGGTATACTGAATGTTGTGTTCCGGCTATATGCATATTTTACACGTCAGACCCAGATGAATATTAAGTCCTGATTAGGTCCCCGAATGAAAACTATACCCGGAGTCTGACACCATATTAATATTCAGAACTGATTTGCTTTGGTCAGATTGCCGTACAAGTCAAATGTGTGTCGTAAACCCTCCTCCACCCGACACAATCAGTTAATTAAGTTTTCACGACGTAATGGACAAACATGCCAATTGATTACTTCTTAAGCATTTTAACAATCGCTCTCCGACACACTGGTGTGCAGAAGTAGGCATGCATTGGCACACTTTTCTTCACGTGAAAACTTGATTAATTAACTGCGTCGGGTGGAGGATGCATTAAAACACATTTTACATACGCGGTCTGACCCTGGGTGGGGGGGGGGGGAAACAATTACGAGCTCTGATTTTGACAGAGCACCAATTTTTGTGAAAACGCAAGCATCGGAAAGTACTACTTTCTACACAGTTGCCACCGGCAGTGCAGGTAATTATTGCCGGGTTGCTGCACGATGTGCGTTGCAACAGCTGTCATCTTCATTTGAGGAAAGAAACCCATAATGACCGTGTAATCATAATGATGATGATGATGGCAGTGGAATGACGAGTCAGCTACGGATATTGCTCCGAATAGTTGTGAGTGTTCTCACCTTCCGCTTTAGAAAGTTTCGCAAACACGAATGATCTCATCTCTAGCTCAGAGATAGTGCGGTAGGCAATAAATGGAGAGATCAGCCCCATGAGGTCATGCACTCGATGAGCCAAACAGAACATGACCGAGGTATGCAAATACAGGGTAGGGTTACGACTCGCAGTCTCTGTGCATGTACACACACACACAAGCACGCGCGACGTGAATGAGATACAGCGCGTCCAATTTCTGCTTCATTGACTTATACATCACGTAGCAGGTGAGTTCAATAGTGATTGGTTTCCTTGAATTGTCACCGAGATGAGGGGAAAGGTCTCGACGTTTGGGCCCAATAATACTTCTTTAGGAAATGCGTCGTTTGACTTCGTGTAAGACTCTTGTGTTTTTACAGATCCTTTATCAAATACCAAAGATACCCCGTATAGCCTTAACAGACTGTTGGGGTAAGTGCTGTTAGCGAGCACCTATAAAGGCCGGCACGGCACACGAGGGGTGGGTGGCCAGCATCATGCCGGGCCGCCGTTGTCTCCCCAGTGGCGGTGTTTACTACACACAGCACCAGGTACTAATTTGAGGCTGATTCGACCTAGGGGAGGCCCAGGACCGGTTCAGATAATCGTCACTGATGTTGGCCGTGAGCGGGAATCGAACTCGGACCGCCGGGTTCGTAGTGCAGCGCGTTAACAGCTGCACCACCGCTCTCCCCATCAAACAACACAAACACACACACACCAAAACGTAAAACGCGTGTTGGTGAGAACATGTGGTTTTCGGGCCCGCACTTTTCTGGTTGGACTTTTCTCGTCATATTTACAGATATTTGAGATTCTTTACCCTTGCACAAAGTGGACGAAGGCTTCTCGATATGCCGGGTGGGTCACGGTGGGCAAGGGGGGTGACCATACTTACTTCCGGACGAGGGGTTTTTTTTTTGGACCATGTTTCACCACGATACGCAGTGCAAATTGGCGAAAGTGGCTGGAATTACTGGACAAAAACAAAAGTCACCGTTGGGGTTTGCTGCACGGTCATCGACTGCTCGCAACGCCTGTTTTGTGCACGGTTGTCACCTGTCCAGTCGCTGTCCACAGGCTCAAATCTGCTTAGCTTCTGGGATCTCATGGGATCGGGCACATTTACAGGTGATTTTGGTCATTGGCTTAAAACGTATCTTCCTGGCTGTAGTGAACGAGTTCAGCATTGTAACTGTGAAGCATCCCGCACCTGCGATTAGCACGGTTGGCTACGTACGGTGCCAAAGAAGTTCAACGTGTTGGTAAAGTGGGTGGCGGTGTCGGGACAGGTTTAGAGATGAGCACTGATGTTAGCCGTGCCTAGGAGTCACACTCAAGGAGCCTAATCATTCATAGGTCAACATTTAAAAAGAAAATCGAATGTTAAATACGAGCCTTTAACCAAGCTAAGCCGATCTCAGAAGTTAAGCAGTGCCGATCCTGGATAGCGCTTATATGGGTGACAACTGTGCATGTGCCGATGCTACAGGTGCTGTTACATTTTATTTCGTATTCAATTTTTGTGGTTCGCTTACCTTTTCCTATACTTTGCGCTCCTATCGGGGTTTTTTTTTCGTATTTGTTATTGTAACTTTGTGACCCGCCCCTACTTGAGCATCTGCAACAACAACAACAAAAAGAGCTTCATGGCTCATCGGATTTCTCCTCCAGTCTGAACAAACATTCCGATTCTGCTCTACAGGCTGAAGTGGGGGCTACGTCTTCAAGCGGAGACGGCCAATGCGACATGAAACAAGAAGCCCAATCGGTGTCTCGATCCCTCTCTCTGCTCCAGCGTCTCAATGCGCCCCCAAGGCTTCCCGACCCCACCGAGACCAGCGCGTACGCCGTGACCCCCGCATGACACCGCGTTGATGTCGTTTGACAAGTGGAGGCAGTAAAGATGCATGTCGGTGCGTTGGACTTCTTTCGCACCGTACGTAGCCAGCCATGTCGACGCAAACGCGGGTCAGGAGTCGGGCTAGAAAGACCGCGGGTTGTTTTGCAGTTTTTTTTTAAAATATATATGGCTAGAAGGTACCGGAATTATGGTTGCCAACGGGCTGTTTGGTTTCTAAGGGAATCCGTACGATGCGTTGTCGAAATGATATTTCACAATAGACAAACACACTGCGCGATTATGACACCCTCCCCACCACCACCACACTGCACAGTTGGCTGGCCCTATACACCCACCAGTGTACGCTTGCCGCGTTCGCGGCACGGGTTCAACGCTGATATTGATGACAATGCTCTATTTGTAAAGCTTTAGCGGCAGAGCTTATTAAGTAATGCTTGAGCAATAGGTCTGAGTCAACATTCCGTTCAGAGTGGGGCATTCATCACTTGGCTTAGCTTTGATGGACTGTTTGTTTATTATATATGCACTGCCATTGTCGCGGCTTTGTTTGAATTGCCAAGTTGGTCCCAGCCGTGTAGTATCGATAAGCAATCTCCAGGACACGATGCACTGGCATCGGGAATAGCGTGTGTGTGTGTGTGTGCGGTGTCTCAGTCAGTCGACCCGTGGCACCTGGGTCTGCCCCGTGACCTCCTGCCAGCGGGCGTTCGACACTTCACGTGGCCTCAGGGTGCACATAGCCTGGCACAAGCGTCGTGGTGACGTCACCGCCACTTAGTGGTGAATGGCGGTTGTTGTTGTTGTTGGTGTCAAGATCGGCCTCTGTGGAGGAGGCTCGTGAAGGACGCCGCTGCTGGGCAGTTGGAGGCAGTCGCCCTCCAGCAACAACGGAGGGCGGAGGAGCGACGCTCACAACCACGAGCGGAGCGCCGGGCGGTTAAAACACAGCACAGGTGGTTCATCGGCCAGTCATCTCGGGCTACCCATGGCACCTGGGTCTGTCCCGTGACCTCCTGCCAACGGGCGTTCGACACTTCACGTGGCCCTATAGTGCATCTATCCTGGCACAGGCGAACGTGGTGACGTCGCCGCCACTCCGTTGGCGAATGGCGGTTGTTGTTTTGGTTTAGTTTGAGCAGATAGGGAGCGGTAGTGTAGCGGTTTGATTCCCCGCTTACGACCCACCACCAGTGACGATTATATGAACCGATCCTGGGACTCCCCTAGGTTTACTCGGCCTCAAATGAGGACCTGGTGCGGTGTGTAGACATCGCCACTGGGGATACAAAGGCGGCCGGGCGTGGTGCTCGCCACCCACCGCCTCGTCTGCTGTGCCGGCCTTCATAGGTGCTCGCTAACAGCACTTGCCCCAACAGTCTTAAGGCTACACGGGCAGTGCCGGATTATCCTCGTAGCAAAAGTAGCTACATATGTAGTAGTAGCTACGGGCCCCGCACTTTCAAGGGCCCCGCGCTAAATGCTTTCAAGCTATGCTATAAATTCCGGTTCAGTGATTCTGCACTTGCTCTATTACTATAGTACTATACTGCCTTCAACTTTTATGAACAACTGGGTGTTTAAGGTTAGCGATTTGTCGTATTATTTGGCTGTATAGCAAATGAAAATATACAATTACTTTACTATGCAAGTAAAAAAATTGGTGTTTTAATATTTGTGTGTTTTTTTTATTTAGGGCCCCTTTATAACATGCTACAGGCCCCGCACGAGCTTAATCACTGTTTATATTCAGTAAATATGGTAGGTCCCGATCATTATTTGTGCTTGCTAACTCCACTTGCATTTGTGTATTCGACACATTTCGTGTGTCTGTTGACATATACTGGCGGTTTTAATCATCACTGTCATCCCCTTGCCATGTTTCTTTCAACTGTGGTCTGTATAAAAGCAAATGTCGTCCTATACATCTTTCGTCAAATAAAACGTATTTCATCTTCTATTTGTTTATCTTCGCGCTGTAGTTTCGATATCTTCAGGTGAGGCGATGCTGTTGTGTCTTTTGAGCTCTTCCTTTTCACGTTTTCAGTGTCTCGGGTCACGTTTGCAAATGAGACGATCTACTGTCCCTGGCCTTTTGAGTTCTCAAACCGAGCTGAACAACGATAAACCTGACACGTACCATGTTTTTTTTTTTTTATGGGGGGGGGGGGGTGTGCAGTGTGTTGTCTCAGCTCCCGGCACGCGCAGCGAAACGTCGGACATCATACCCGATTCGCCACATAGTAATACAACCAGCAAAACAGACCAGAAAACGATGCAGCAACACGGCAATACAAAAAACCCACGCTGTGGGCGAATCGTTACGTAACCGCATGTCTTCTTGCACAGGCGCTCGTGCCGATAAACATATTCTATCTTCTTCTGGCCCTTGGCAAAGGGACAGGGTGTGTGAATTATACGACCGAGTTTAGGTTCGTGAGCCACGTGAATGGGAAGTAGCGCGACTGACAACTGTCCAGGGCGCAGAATGAAGTGGCCCATTGTTGGGTTGGCCTGGCCGCAGTCCCTGCAACTGAGGTGTGCCCCCCTGTAAGGGGACAATATGAATCCGCGATAGAATGAACGATAAGTTATGTTCATGTGATAGGCCCATATATGGAGTCATTGGTTGTGGCTTTGCCTGTATGAGGAATAGGGGAACGGGAATCTACGCAGTTTTAAAGATTTGCATGAACATTAATTAAATTATGTATGCTTTTCCAGGCCCGTACATTGAGTAATTTGACGTGGGCTTTGGGCAAAGTACGGGTTGACTGAAACGGGGAATCGGCTGATTTTTTAACGATCGAGTATTGGTGGAATTTTTGGCGAAGCCTGTCCATTGACGCTAATTGGCTTCCCTGAACACGAGCATCATTCATCATTTATCTGTCGCGGATGCATTATATCCTGATATCTGTCGCTCCACGTGAGAATAAAAACGAAAGTATTTTTTTGTACAAATCCCATCGGCCGCACGGCCTTCTGGGAGTTAATTGTATCGGCATAATTAGTTCAAAACAAGCAAACTGTGGACCGGTCCCGAGCCAGACTTGCTTCAACAAAGTCCTGTGAACTGTCAATGACTCTTTTTCTGTTAGATACGAGTTCCTCCTAGTTCGATGCAATACTATATCATCAAAAACAAAATAATCCCTAATACAGGGTTTTTTTGGGTTAGATCGCGTAAATGTGTCGTTAAACCCGCCACCACCCGACACAGCCAACTAGTGAGGTTTGTCACGTAAACAGAACGTGGCCAATTAGTTACTAGTACAGCACTAACCGGTGTGTTGGAGAGTAAATCCACAACATTTACAATTTGAGTACGACGTTTCGCTAGTAATTACAACTAAGCTTCACGAGACGCCAGCCGCATCTGGCGAAACGTCCAACTACTCAAATTGTAAATGTTGCGGATTTACTCTCCAACACACCGGTGTGATCCTATTTAGCATCGTTGTGGAGAATTTTTTTTAAATGAATAAATGTCGTTATGATTATGGAAGCTATTAAGGTTGCTCTGTTACAACATGCTGGTATGCGAATAAACTAAATTGGTAAACCGAAACGATTAAAAGAGCTGTTTGTCATAAACC